CTGCCATGGCCATGGCCAAGAGTGCGGCGTGCACCTGACCACGGTTCGGCATGCACTAGGCGTGGCGTGGCTGCTGCACGGCTTACGGTGCGGCGCTGGCCACGGACGTGCTTGCCGACATGCAACTGAACGCTGCGGGCGTGCGCTGTGCCTTCCCGCGGCACTGGCTACTCGACCTGGCTGCTGCCGTAGCCATTACCATGCGACGCTGTGCGCTGGCGTGCGTTACAGCATGCTGGCGCGCTGGGCTGGGCGTTGGCGTGCACAGGCGCACTGCCAACGTCTACTCGCAGCGGGTACTGATCGCACGCAGTACCTGCTGCGTACTACCTGTATCACCCGCGCACTGCCCGCTGTGCTGAGTGACTGCCGGGCGTGCGCTGCCGCTAGGTGCGGACAGCACGGCCTAAGGCCAACCCTTGCCGGCCGTTCGGCACTACCTCCCGAGCACTCTGACTTTATTGAACATAATTTAACTCAACATGAACATACTTATCAAAATGACTTAAAAACATAACCATTTGCATGATCACTGAACGGGCCGTGGCGAGCACACCGTGCGCCGCCGACGGCGATAGGCCGTCTCCCGACCGAATCATCTTTCCCTCGGCAACTCAAGACCAATTCAACATGAAATATCATTTGGAGGCTATTAAGACATAAACCACATGGACAAACTTGTTTATAACAAAAGATAGCATGACATGGCCGTGACACGCACACCACGTGCGGTCCTTGGCTTTAAGCCAAATTCCCGACCAAATCCCTAATTTACTCACAATTCCCACTTGACTGAACATGATACACTTAATGATGACTGAAGAAACAATAAACACTCGGGACTTGCCGGAATAAAATGGAAGTAACTCGGTCTTGGCCCAAAATTGCCTAAACCGAACTTAATGCGACATAACTAGGAAGTCTTAACATATGGACCGAACAATTTAGCCTTAAATGAACTTATTAACATGAAAATAAGTTGAGGATAGCTTTACCTCCTCAAGTGTTTGACGGAAACTCGAAACTGATCGGGGTCTACGTGAACGTAAATTGTATATATTTTTATTATTAATTTTGTAGTTCATTGTGTTCGTGTGTGATACTTGCTACCTCTCATCGTGCGATGCTCACCGTGCCTCCACTGTTACTTGTCGTGCGTGTGTAAACACAAGAACTAAGGCAAAATTTGCTAGCTAATCCTTGCTTAATTTATATAGTTTATAGGCTGAAATCGTAAGGGAGAGTATGACTTAAAAGGTGGGAAAATTTTGGATCAAGTACTCTTATATATATTAACCGAAAGAGGCTACTCAATTTGGGTGATGATGGTGCCAAGACGTGGCCACCTATCAAGCTTGACATTTGCTATATGCTTAGTAAATAAAAGGGATTAGTCACCCCCAAATCCACCTATTAAAGCTACGTACCCAAAGCTTCAATTTAGAAGGGAAATAATGTTTCTTAAAACATAGGAAATTTTGTGGGAATAATAACATATCCATATGGTTTATTGAATGATAAGAAGTGTACGGCTTTTCATGCATTGGGATTAATTGGATGACTTTAATGCTTAAATTGATGATTAAGTACTAATTAATCCCTTAAATTGTTTAATTATTTAATTAAATATAATGCTTAATTACCAAAATTATTCCGAACGTAAACGATACGTCGAAAATAATTTTCGGTAATCTTGATTGAAAATAATTAATTCCGAAATTTAATATCGGAACTAAAAACATAACTTATACTGATAAACTGACGGGACGTCGCTGACTGAATAATTAATTCCGGACTCATTAATTAATTAAACGAATCGGAATTAAATCTGGAAAACTTATTCGGTTACTAAAATAGGTAAACCGAATAACTTATCAACTAATAGTCGAACATAGGATATGACTGACTGGTCAATCTGAACTTGAATATGAACATGATTATTTATTAATAAAGGCTAGCTTAAAAC